GCCAGTGTAGTGCCCAGTGTTATTACCCAGCAGTGCCCAGTGTAATCACTAGTATGCAGTGTTATTACCTTCAGTGCCCAGTGTAGTGGCCAGTAACCCAGTGTAATTACTAGTGCCCAATGTTATTACCAGCAGTGCCCAGTGTAATTACTAGTATCCAGTGTTATTACCAGCTGTGCCCAGTGTAGTGGCCAGTGGCCCAGTGTAATTACTAGTATTCAGTGTCATTACCAGTAGTGCTCAGTGTTATTACTAGTGTGCAGTGTTACTGGGCCCAGTGTTATTACCAGTGTGCTGTGTCCTTGTCTCCAGAGATGGTGCCAAACGAAGTCCAGTCTGAGCTGAAGCACCTGTACACTGCGGCCGGCGAGCTGCTCCGACACTTCTGGTCCTGTTTTCCCGTCAACACGCCTTTCCTGGAGGAGAAGGTGAGGAGTCCCAGGAGCCGCGTGTCCCACACCCCCAAACTCCACCAGCCCTGGAGAGGAGGCGGGGTGGGGGTCTTCCCAGCTTCAGCCTCTGTAACGTGGGGGGCACCTGTCATTCTCGCACTGCGAGGCCTCGAGACTCCAGACTCGCCCCCCCTCTGAGCCGAGACAGCCTGGCATGGCCTGACCTTTGACCCCTGTGTCCTGCCGTTTTCTGCAACAGTCTGCAGCACAACTAAGCCCCTTCAGGCATGACTAGTGCTCATCGCATCAGCACGACAGCCCACTGCAGCACAACTCCTCATCTCTCCCTGACTGCAGCACGATGTTCGTATTTATCACCCACAGCTGTTACAGGGGAACTGCAGTTCCAGTTTCTCAGACTGGTTCTTAAATCTCGGTAACAAAATAAATTAATTGGTGTTATAGGGAAAAAAAATACAAATTTAGAATGAAGCACAAAATCGTGAACTTTGTGAAAGCACTGTGTGACGTCGCAAACCCCTGGTCTCTCCACTAGCGAGAGTGAGAGTTCCCACGAATCGTGACGCGAGGCGGCCCTTCCTGCTCACTAGTCCCTGTCATGACTGATGTACTGTGATGTACGAGTGAATAAGTGCAGGTTGTGCAGCAGACATCTCACTGCAGAGATGTTCCACCATGATCTGCAGGCAGAGTTCACAAGCAGTATGTGTCAGCAAAACCGTCTCGAAGTCAAGAGCGATATTTCTATTGGATCAAAAGAGATGGACTCACAAGCCTGCTTGTTTACAGTGCAATAGGGCTGCTTCACCTCTTTGGATGTTTCGTTGGCTCGATCTGAATCGCAGAACATGGCGCTGTGCAGACCTGGTTATTTAGACTCTTTTGTGATGTAAACTGGGGGTTTTGTTACTGTGTCGATCGTAGTTTTATTGTGGTTTGAAAGGCACTCATCGACCCCAGAATCTAAAAATCGCGTTGCAGTTCCACATTGTTCATGACATTTTTGTTCACGACACTCATCCAACATTCACCCTGCTTGGTCCCCACACAGATCTTAGGGGTGAGCAGCTGGACCGGGCCATGCTGGGAGGTGGATGGGCTCGGTGTCGGTGATCGGCACTGAGGAGCCACAGCTCTCCGCAGCTGTGCTGCTGGGCGAGACCCAGCCGCCCGGTCCCGCTGTCGGACGGGTTTTAGTGTTTTTAACAGGGGAGCAGGACTGGCCAAAGGCAGGTCTGCAGTGATTACAAACGGACCCCAAAACCCCGAAACTTCTGCTAATGGCTGTTCCAGCAGAGCAGGTCTTGCAGAAAGTCCAGTTGGCTTGCGTGCTGCGGTTGTGATGTCCTCATCCCGTGCGAAGGCAGGGCTTTCAGAGTGGATCGGTGTTCCCTTGCTCTGAAGGAGAGCTTCAACAGCTGTGGCCAGCGGCTTGACAGGGTGTTGCGTTCGCTGGCGGCGCTCTTACAGCCCGATCAGGGTGGCAGGAGGGAGTTTGTCAGAGTCTGACGCGCTGCCTCTCCTCTTCCTCCTCTTCCTCTGCCCGCAGGTGGTGAAGATGAGGACTAACCTGGAGCGGTTCCAGATGACCAAGCTGCGCCCCTTCCAGGAGAAGGCTCAGCGGCAGTACTTGAGCACAAACGTACGTCTCCTGCCCTCTCCTGCCCTCTCCTGCCCTCTCCTGCCCTCTCCTGCCCTCTCCTGCCCTCTCCTGTCTCTCTCCTCCTGTCCTGCCCTCTCCTGCCCTCTCCCGTCTCTGTCTCTCTCCTCCCGTCCTGCCCTCTCCCGTCTCTGTCTCTCTCCTCCCGTCCTGCCCTCTCCCGTCTCTGTCTCTCTCCTCCCGTCCTGCCCTCTCCTGTCTCTCTCCTCCCGTCCTGCCCTCTCCTGTCTCTCTCATGCTCTCCTGCAGCAGTCGCAACACATTGAGAGCAAAATGCAACACCACAGCCCTCCTTTCATGAGAAGCAGACCCCTGCGCTCTTGCACTGATCTGGTATTTGTCCACACATGTGGCACACGCACTCGAGCAAACCCGAGGGCAGGAGGGCGCTTCTTTACACAAAGGGTGGTGGGAGCGTGGAACAAGCCGTTTTAGGCCCCAGGTTCTGGGTGAGCTACAGACTGCCCCGACCGCCTCCCCTCGTTTGTAAGCCTTCTAGCGTCGCCCACAGCTCGCGCGCACGGGACACGCACGCCAGGCTGCCGGTGTGAACTTTAACCCTTGACCCTTGCCCTCCGCAGCTGACGGGGCACCTGGAGGAGATGCTGCAGACGGCCTACAGCAAGTTCCACACCTGGCAGACGCGGCGCATGATGAAGAAGAGCTGAGGGAGGGGGGGGGCGGGCGCAGACGCGGCCCCCCAGGAGGCGGGGGAGGACTCCGGCCCTAGGAGGGGAGCTGGGATTTTCTTCTGGGGGGGGCGAGGAATGAGGCCCAGCTCTGCGGTCCGTGGACAGGAACGACCCCCCCGCCTCCTGCAGATGAATTTCCTTTCGCCGTCCCGTTCCTCTCCCGGGGGGTGGGAACGCCGCACGGGGCCTGCAAGCCCTCCGGGGGTCCGGGGACAAGCCAAGACTCGCGAAGCAATACTCTGCTCCCCGGAGCGAAACCCTGCCCCCCAGCGTCTGCGGACAGCAGGAGCGGACTCTGAATTCCCCGGCTTTCCGGCGCCTGGCGTCCGGCGCTCTGGAGCAGAGCGGAGCTGGGAATCTCCGAGGCCCTGCAGGCAGCCCCGTGGACAGCCGTGTGTCCGTCTCCTGTGGACAGCCGTGTGTCCGTCTCCTGTGGACAGCCGTGTGTCCGTCTCCTGCGGCGCTGGACACGCTCCAGGCCCTGTGGACAGCAGTGTGTCCGTCTCCTGTGGACAGCAGTGTGTCCGTCTCCTGTGGACAGCAGTGTGTCCGTCTCCTGTGGACAGCCGTGTGTCTGTCTCCTGCGGCGCTGGACACGCTTGAGGCCCTGTGAACAGCCGTGTGTCCGTCTCCTGCGGCGCTGGACACGCTCGAGGCCCTGTGGACAGCCGTGTGTCCGTCTCCCGTGGACAGCCGTGTGTCCATCTCCTGCGGCGCTGGACATGCTCGAGGCCCTGTGGACAGCGTGTGTCCGTCCCTGCGGCGCTGGACACGCTCCAGGCCCTGTGGACGGCGTGTGTCCGTCTCCTGTGGACAGCGTGTGTCCGTCCCTGCGGCGCTGGACACGCTCCAGGCCCTGTGGACAGCCATGTGTCCGTCTCCTGTGGACAGCGTGTGTCCGTCTCCTGTGGACAGCCGTGTGTCCGTCCCTGCGGCGCTGGACACGCTCGAGGCTGGGTCGGGGGGTGGTTTGTGCAGAACTGGGCTTTGACTGTTGTTCATCGTTTTTATTCTCCATTTGGTTTCGGTTGACTTTGTACCCCCCTCGTCCCCGGGAGCGAGGAGAGAGAGGGGGGGACGAGGGTGGCGGGGGTTTCGTCGGCCGGCCTGGGAACGCCGGTGGCCTGTGACCTTTTATTTATCTTGGAAGGGAGAAGGCCGACTGCCATTTTTTTTTTTTAGAAAATTAAAGGTTTGGAAGCGTATTTACAGCGGGGTTCCGTTCGCGAACTCACATTGTCTAGTTTTTAGTGGTGTCCAATAAAATGGCCGACCTTGTGTAAGAAGACTCTGGCCTCTTCTCCTTCCTCCTGGGCCTCGTCCACAGCCTGGCCCGCGGGGGGGCTGGGGGACAGGGGGCGCCTGCTCCTGGCCAGAGGGACCCCAGTCTCTCCGGCTGCCCCCATCTTACAGCAGCCCCTCCCCCGCCGCGTGTGGTGTTTTAAGAGGAGCTGTTTTCACAGTTTGGGTTATAAAGAATTGGCACTGATGAGCGCATTTCACCGCGGTGAAAATAAAATCTACACCGGAATCTGTAAAACCTCCAGTTTACAGCACAGAATAGCCTCGGAGCAGCCGGCGGGAGAGCATGCGAACTCCACACAGACAGTCGAAGCTGTGTGGCCGCGGTGCTGACCGCTGCCCCAGCGCGAGTCCAGGGGCTGGAACCCGCACCACCATGGGTCTGGCCTCCTCTCTCCCCTCCCAGCAGCGCCCAGGAAGGCTCGGGGCCCGTCTCCCCTGTCCCTGTGTCCCTGCCGCGGGGGGGGGACATGCGAACTCCACACAGACGGCTCCGCTCGGGAAGGGGCCCGGGTCCGCCTGCAGTGGGTCAGTCCACTGCCCCAGCTCGTTCGGCAGGGCGAGTAGAGGGAGGCTCCCTGCTGGGGAGAACCGGACCGGACCCGACCCGACCCGGCGCCTCTGACGTCCTTCTCCCGCGAGCTGGCCGCCACATGCTGACGTCACGTGGCTCGCAGGCGCGTGCAAAAGCATGAAGCCTTTATTTTCGGCTGTTTGCCGACACGGAGCTGCCAAATAACTCCACCAGACTGGAAGGGCAGGAGGCAGGAAGGCCTGTACCAGAGATTCAATACGGGGGGGGAATGTAAGAGGGTGACACACCCCCCTCCATCTG